CCCTCAGACTCCCACGAGTTTTCGGAGTCAGGATATCCCCGCCACTTCACAAGATATTATGTCTGACCCCGGTGACGACGTCGTCTTACTAGACGTTCCACGTGATAGTGGACGTCACAGTTCTCATCGAGAGGAGTCGGTGGCGGGCGGTGACAAACGGTTCGACCGCCGCCTGGTTACTCGTGATGCTATTTGAGCCCTTGAGGACGAGATCTGTCGTTCTCGGAGCTCTGCTGAGTATCATGCTGAAATAGCAACTCGCTGTGCGGACGCTCTTGACGATTTGGAGCGCGTCGTGCGCCGGCTGCCTCACCATGAGGACATCCACGCTCTCTCGGAGTGACTCCTAGCCGTGGAGCAAGCGAATGTGTCGCTGCATGCGACGGTGGAGCGCTTGGTGCGTTGTAGATGGAGGTTGTAGCACTCCGTGCTCATAACCAGTTGCTGGTTCAGCCGCGGGCCCGTGTGATCCACTCCGGCCCCAACGCTTCCACGTTCACTAGCGCTGGATCCTGGTACGGCTTGAGCAAGCCCACGTAAAATACCGGGTGGATGCGCATCATTTCGAAAGGTTCAGCGTGTACGCTAGGCCCCGTATGACCACAACCTTAAACGGTCCGATAAACTGTGAACGAAGCTTCGTCTTGAAGATAGCAGAGGCTGCATGTGTAGGCAGGTTTGTTGAATTTAATAAAACCAGCCCCCCTGACCTTAAAGCTTTCCACTTTGCCTCTTCTATTTTCACCTGCATATTGTCTGCAGGTCTTGGCTTTTAGCCATCGCATTGCGAACCTGTCGTAGGACACTCAGTCTGGAAGACACAAAGTCATCGACTTCTTTGCGGACAGTGAGGGGGCTGATAACAGCTAACCTTTCGGCTATTTCTCCCCCACCAAGCCCTGAGCCATGGGATGGAGGCGTCAACGGGACGCGAGGGTGAATCAGCTCGTTCACGTAGAACGGACTGCATGTTATGTGCAAACTTTACGAGTGGCAACATGGCGCTCCAGCGCCTTAGCTTCTCAGCGCAGACGCTGCGAAGAACGTCTTAGATGACGCGATTGTTTGACCATCGGTCTGCGGATGATCCGCTGTCGACATACTTGGTGTCTAGCACCTTGAAGATAGTCGACCAAAATTTTCCCGTGAAACAGGGGTCTCTATCAGAGACAATCGACTCTGGGAGTCTGCCTTGTCGAAAAACGCGATCCACGAACAGCGTTGCTGTACAGACTCCGTCGATGGTGTCTGGCACCTCCGCCAAATGAGCCATCTTACTCAACGGGTCACGACAACCGTGTTGCCCGCCGAATCTTTCGGCAGGACAAACACAAAGCCCAAACTCATGGACTGCCAGCACCCGGTGGGTACCGGTAAGCTGGCCAGCGGCGCAGCCGCATTTGGAGTGTATTCACCCGTTGACACGTCTCACGCGTGCGCACATAGGTGCTCGTCCATTTGTACAACTTGAGCCACCAATAGTGGAGACTCACGGAGTTGTACGTTTTCTCACGACCGAGATGACCACTGAGTGGCGTGTCATGAGCCTCATAGAGGATGCGATATTTCAAATCCTCATCATGAGGATCCAAAATTCGTGGTGTACCCGTTGATTCGGTGCTATAATACAGCAAGCCGTCATTCAACGAATATCGGTGCAATCATGCACGCAGTCTCTGTCACAATTTCTTGTCCGATTCAATAAACCCCCTTGCTCCCAAGAGCCCGTAGCAGCGATACACACATCCCATCACCCGCATATGCGGTGCGGATCAAATCAGTCACAGACGACGTTACAGTTGGAACATGAGCAAGATCATAGTCTGGTCTGCGTGACAACGCATCAGCCAAAGCATTCTGCTTTCCCAGCTTATACTTCACCTCGAAGTTATATTCCGCAAAGAAGGATAGCCGTCTAGCCATCCTCTGCGAGAGGTGGGGCGACTGAGTCGCAGTGCGTAGTGACACATGATTTGTATAGATCACGAACGGCTTGGAGCCGAGCAGGTGGACCCTGAACTTGATAAGTGCATACTTCATCGCGTGTAGCTCATTGTCCTGGACTGGGAAGTTCTTCTATGCAGCTCTGAGCTGTCGAGGTTCGAGTGCGATCACCCGATCTCGCCCCTCGGCGTCTGCTTGCAGTAGTGAACAGCCGATGGCAAAGTCCGAAGCGTCACAGACGACGCTGAGAGGGCGATCAAGGTCTGGTAGCGCCAGTATTGGTGCGTACAGGTGGCTGTCTTTGACCCCGTCAGAAGCCTCCTGATGTTCGGTGATCCAACACCATTCCGCCTCCTTTTTAAGGAGATTGGATAATGGCCGAGCCATTTTTGCGTAATTTACGCTGTACTTGTGCAAGTTATTAAACATACATAGTCACTTACGCAAGTCCTTCTGGTTCTTTGGAATCGGCCACTTTGACCATAGGCTCGAAGGCCACGCTTCCCAATGAAGCACCATAAAAAAGGGAATTTCTTCTGCGCCAAAGATGCACTTGTCTGCATTGGCGTACAATTTGTTCGTGTGCATGCACTCAAGCCACGCTCTTAGATGGACGATGTGGTTCTCCTCATCCGTCCTTCCGTGCTCAGGACGACTGTGAATAAAAATGTCGTCAAAGTATATCTGTGCATACGCCCTGTGGGGCCTGAACAACTGCGTCA